TGGCATCAGCCTTACTCACAGCAACCTCCAACTCCTGTGCTCAAGCGATCCTCCTGCCTCAGCCTCCCAAGTAGCTGGGACAACAGGCATGCATCACCATGCCCGGCTAATTTTTTATATACATATTTTTAGTTGTCCAGCTGATTTCTTGCTATTTTTTCAGTAGAGACAAGGTCTTGCTCTTTGCCCAGGCTGGTCTCGAACTCCTGAGCTCAAACAATCTGCCTGCCTCAGCCTCCCAGAGTGCTAGGATTACAGGCGTGAGCCACCACACCTGGCCTACTTTACTCTTCTTTCAAGACTCAGCTCACAATTCTTCCATGAAGTTTTCCCTGACATCAATCTTTTCCTCCTAAAATTAACCTCTCCATCTTGTGTGCCTCCATCAAACATTTATTATTACAACAATATTCCATCCTGCATTTATAGATCATAGGTTGCTGTCCTTCTACTAAATGGTAGAAGACAAGAATCACACCAAGTTAACCCTTGAGTCTCCAGTCCCTAATACATTTTTTACTTTCGATAACTATCATGTTCAATAAATGTTTACTAAATGCCTAAATGTGAATTTGACAAGGTATGTTAAAGTCCAGAAAATACAAAATACCAGGTAATTATGGACATATGAGACCTCAACTGGAAAAAGGGATCCAAACTGGTATCTCATCTAACTCAAAGAATTCTGACAGGCCTAGAATTTTTCTTCACGGGAAAAGCATGATGTTTTCAATATTCTGCTCATAAAGTGTCCTTGTAAGGGCCAAGATGCTCTCTGTACTGCATGCAACTAGGCAATGGCAGAGGCTTAATAGCTGAAAATGACCACTTACTTCCTATTGACTATTGTCTTCATTACCTTCTCCCTAGAGAGAAACGTAATTACACAGTTGCCAGGTTTAGTTTAAAGAATACTGCACTCTATGTCTAAAAATCACTAAGAGTTTTCAGGATTGTTTCAGACAGAGATTTCTTTACTTATTTATTTATTTGAGAACTCAGTGGAAAGGATGCTATTTCTGTCTTGTCTTTCTTTTCAACATATTCATGATCTAAAAAATTAATTGAATGATTCAAATTAGATATATCCTTACAACAGATATCATTTTTTAACAAGTGACATATCATGTTATTGATATTCTCAATACTAAAAGTATCAGATCTGAAGTAATCTGAAGGATTAAAAAAAGAAAGAAATATAGTTTTAGAAGATGTGTAAAAGAAGAATTCACCTATGCCATTTGGTTTATCCGGCTGTGTTGCTCCAGGTTTAAAGGACAAATCTGAGGCTAAAACATGGAAAATTTTAAGCATAGGGTACTGGCTTACTTTTTCACTGTTAGTTAACACTAACATCATTGTATATTTTTAAAAAATTTGACTTCCTTCTCTTATGAGATAAATAATCATTTATCTTGCATACTCAGAAAAACAAAATAAATAATGTTAATTGAGAATTCATCAGGACTTGAACTTTCACAGAGTTTGAAAATAGGGAAGATTCTTACCATTAAAAAATTTCCATTAATATTTGTATAGAATTTCTCTAAATCTGTAATTTGGAGATCCAAACTGTATTCTGTAATATGATGCAATTGAGTACTTGTTGGTATACTGGATAGAAAAGAAGGTATAGCTGAAAAATACCCTGGAGATATTCTAAGGACATCTCTTCATTTTACAGACTTAAAATGAGGCTCAGAGAATGTAATTTCTCATTTTACGTGTCTAGTTAGTATGAGAACCTAGAGGTTTTGACTCTCAATTTAAAATTTTAGTTATTTTCCTCTATATGTACTTGTTTCTTCTGAGACCATACATACCGAAATCGATAATCTCAAGATGTTTTCCTACATACAAGCAATATATATTTATTTTTTTCCTGTGTGCTTCTCCTCACGTATGTCTCATCATCTGTAATTTTATTTACCTCTGTTCCTTTGCAACTATCCCTCACAACCACACCACAATTAAACACCTTTGTTTTAAACACTGTTCCTGCCCCGCTAAAACTCCTTGGTGGGCACTAATTCCAGAGAAAAAATTTAATTGATACTTAAATGTATTAAGTAAAAAAATTCTAAACTAAGACAGTATTTTTTAGTGCAGGCAACCTACAAATTCGACGTTAAACCCTGCCTGAATCACCACTGTGCTCAGTTGTCAACTCAGTAAAGACACTACCAGGCCTCCCTTGGTATCCTGGAGGGGTGACTGATTCCAGGACCACCTGCAATTACCAAAAGCTGTGGATGCTCAAGCTCCCAATATAAAATGGCATAGTATTTGTGTGTAACCTAGTTACATCCTTCTGCATGCTTTAAATCATCGCTAGATTACATGTAATAAATACCTAATACAATTTAAATTTTATATAAATAGGTGTTATACAGTTTTGTTTTTTATTTGTATTATTTTTATTGTATTGTAATTTTTTTTATTTTATTGTTTTCAAATATTTTTGATCTGCAGTTAGTTTAATCCATGGGTACAAAACCCACAGATACAGAGGGCCGACTGATATTATGAAGTTTGTCTATTAATACAATAACCATATGAATTGAGATTATCATAAAATAGATGAGGTAATATAAAATGCATAACATTTTTCATATAGTAAAACTGACAAAATAGTTGTATACCTTAAGTGTATCCCAGTAGTTTTTTTTCAGATAAACAAATTATAATGGATATAATAAATCCATCCCTTCTTGTTATCCATTCCCTATTGTTACTAAATCTAAACAAGGGGCTTTTCATAGCATTATAACTATGAAAATAAATGACCGTCCTTGATATAAATATTAATCATATTAACAATAAGAATAAAATTACTATTCAAGTATATATATATGTGTGTGTGTGTATATATATATATATATATTTCACCAAATCTACTAACATCCATACTATAAACCTATGTGTCGTTTTAAATTTTGTAATGTCATTTTGTAGTAAGAATTAATCCAATACTGATTCTTAGTAATGCCATTCTCTTTGCATTTTACACAATATTTGAAGGATTTGGGCCTCTAAACTCATATTAAACATTTACCTAAAAAAAAAAACCTGAATTTCATGTGTTTTGGACAAAGCTAATTAAATTAGAAATGCCCTATTCATTCATAGTCTTAAATACATTCTTTCATATATCTCCAATTTTATCTCCCTCTTATTAATACTTTTGCCTTATGTGTAACATCACATAGGAAGACTTCTTCTTTCCCCAGTTGGTTTAGGCTAGTATTTCTAACCGTCATGTTATGCGTTGCATTTCTGTTTATAAATTTTGCAGAGAAAAAAGGAATAAACATTCCTCTGTTATGCATCTAACTGGATAATGTCCAAACCCTGTAGCAAATCCATTCATAAGGTCAATTCTGTGATTTATAAAAGTTGAACAAATGTTAAAAAAAAAAGGAGGGTGGGGAGCGGTAGGTATGCAGGACTAATTCTGTTTATAATATACTTTAGCTTCTATTTTATAATTTAGTGTTTACCTCAGAATACAAGACATTGTGTTTTTTAAAGTTTTTCAGTTTCCAGAATACAAGGTTCAAAATTAGATTAGCATTGTGTAGTATGAAAGTGATCACTCCATATATTTGAAAAATGAAATATCTGTTGAATAAATTTAAATTTTGGTATAATAGATACACAAAAAGTAAATCACCTAAACAATTATATTTTACCTTTTCACCTTTAGATCCCTTGAGACCTCTGACACCATCTGCTCCCTATGGAATAAATTAGAAGTATTAAATAACTATAACATTTCACATTAAAAGTAAATAATTTAACAATTTAAAACAATTTAACAATTACCTTTACTCCCCGGGGGCCAGGGTAGCCAATAGGACCCTGTGGGCCAGGAGGACCCTGAAAAAGATTCATTGCGACTTAAACATCTCACATGCTGAAAGAGCTACTAATTAATGTACCTTAATTTTAGCAAATAATCAACAAAAATATGGTATTTTTCTACTATAATACTTGGTAAAGATTTCTTGGGTAGTTTTTCCTTTGTTTCTAAAATCAGCTACGATGAATAAACCATGTGACTGGCACTATCCACTCCAAACTTATTAAATCATATATTTATGCTAAAAATAGATATTTAAATGGTCTAAGACAAATATTATAAGTATGTAAAATAATGTAAACAATTAGATAATTTATAATTAAGGTTTTAACCTGAAAAAATATGCTATGCTCAATGTCTACAGTAGACAGTTATTGATTAACCAACAGGATCAATAGTTTCTAACAGAAAATTTGTATAAATTTGTAGAATTCACATCATCAAGAATATGATCAAAATTATATATATTTTCCAGAGCTGGCTTTATTTCTCTAGACTCCCTAAAGGAAACATTATATAAAATAGAATTTACAATTTCTGCAGTAATGCTGAGACTTTTAATGCTATATTAAACAAATCCTAAACTAACAACTCTAACAAAAATGATCCTAGCCCCACCACTGTCATCCAAAGTCACCCTAACATTGAATATGCTTTTATTATATTTCACTTAGATATTTTCAAAACTATTGTTCTTAAATGTAATAGCCTCTCAGCTAAAGGATACCAGAAAGTCATAAGTAATAATAAAATTATCTAAGCAGTTTAATGATATTTGATAATTCTTGTCCAATTTCACTGTTATATGATGTTATCATTTACTCCACGTATAATATATAGATGGAATGTGGATCTATTCCTGATCATGAGAATATTTAAAAAAAATAAAAAACACAAGTTAATTTATAAAATTATTAATACAAAATTAAAAGTTATCCATCTAAGGCACGTGTGTTTATTATACCAAAAATATAACAATTCCTATTTCAATGTTAAGATAAGTTCTTTAGAAAGCAGACATATATATAGGTAGAGATAAAATATTTTCTGGTGTTTATTTTCTAATACATCCCTAAGTGATCAAAGAAGAATATATGTATTATAGAGATGACCAGATTAAGGCAACTTCCTCTTAAAGATAAATTGACAGGACATTGAAATGGATACTTTGGAACCTACCAGAGCACCCTTTTCTCCAGACTGGCCTTCTTTTCCAGGATGACCCTATATTTACCAAAAATATATACTGATCAGATGCAATATTAATGGTATTTGATAAAACTATGAAATGGTTCCTTTTGTTTTAAGTCTATTTAGATCTTACTCTTTAAGTTTCAAAAATTATTGAACACTTGGGCATCAGTATATATGGCTTAAAATAATATTGAAAACTGTGGTATTTGGAAGCATACATAACAAGCTTATATTTGATGGATGTATGTTTCATCAAATTCATAATGCATTTGAGAAGGCTTGGAGAGGTACATAAAACAATATATACCATGCATTAACAATTCAATCTGTCTCAATTAGAGTCTTACATAATGGTAATTAATTCCTCTCATGTTTTGCATATTGATCAAATTATTTTGCATACACCTTCAAAAAGCAACTAAGGCATGTGTATGGGACATCTGAAAATATAGCAAGATCATAAATACTAATAGCATTAATAATCAACTTACTGAGGTTCAGTAAATAAAAATTTACAGCTACTACAATTATACTCAATAATGAGTAGAGGTAAAGTGAGAAATTTTGTATCCTAGCTCTCAAAAATAAGTAGTTTGAAGAGAAAAGAAATCCACAAATCACAATTTTTTAAAATAACAACTGTAGAGATTACATAATTATATTATTTATTACTATGTCAGGGGAAATAATAAATGTTGCTATATTTCCAGAAAAGGAGGAAAGGCTGAGGAATTTTCATGGAAGATGTCTGAGGAAATTTATTAACGGTAAGGCACTTCACTCTTAGAAAGAAAACAGGTACTTTGGAAAGGAGAAGAGGTTGGAGTTGGGATTTCTATAGAAAAAATAGACATATGGAAAGGTATAGTGACAGAAAACTTCCAGCATGCTGAGAAAATGTGATTGGACCTATTTTCCTGTAGCTATTTGTTCATGAGGGAGTAGGAAAATATGAAATTTTGGAAAGGTTCTGGCCAGAATGCCAGACTGAGTTTACGCAAAGGCGACTGTGAGCTCGTTAAAGAATCTGCAATATGGAAGTGATGTAATGGTATTTTAGAGAGATCATTGTTTAATTATTGGCTCAATTTGTTTTCACTACTAACTTCATACATTCATTTCTAAAACAGGTAAAAATCTATTTTTGAAGATAACGTTTAGACATTTTAATAATCAGGTAGCTGTTACTTACAGGAGGCCCATCGGCACCAGGAAGCCCACCAAGCCCTGGTTTTCCTTGTGGTCCCTTATCAAATAGAGAAAGAGAACATTTTATTGGAAAAAAATGAAAATAATGAAAAATTCTGGTTTGTACATACACTGCTAATAAAATTCTTGAGTCACTAACTTCTATTTATAAGCGACAAAGACTTATATTTTAACATGTTATGCGGAAGAATTGGTATATAAAAATAATTGAAAACCAAATTTAACATGCCAAAAATATGTCTTTTTAGTCTGCTTAGTAGTCATAAATGCATCTTTTTTAAATTAGTTTTTGAATATCACAATAGACTAGAGCTTAGAGAATAAACAAGAAACAATATACCTCAGAAATCCATTGATTTATATCATCGAAGAGGTAATCACTGGATATTTTATCAATAATATAAATAAGTGCAAATTTAAAAAATTATAGTAACAGTGATTTAAGAAATGTATTACAGTGTGATAGTTATTCATAGGACATGAAGAAAAATAAATCTATTTGGATGTTAAAAGAACGTTTCCTAATATGCAACCAACAAATAATAACAAAGTACCGATTCAGCAGATCACTCCAATCCGTGTTTAACCACAGAAGATTTCAAATCTCATTTACCTTTCCCAGTGCTAACTTTGGACTATGGTAAGAAATACCATTTCAAGAAGAAGACCCTTTCTTGGGAGAAAAGTAGGCAGTTTGCTGAGAATATTAACTTTATCAGTTCCTCAACACCAAAAGCATTATTGTTTACTGGTCAAGTTATTAGCCAGTATTTTGAAACAATAGAAAAGGCAAGAATACATCAGCAACCATAAATGCTGGGCATGGTTTAAGGTTTTTCCATTCTCAGAGAGTATTTAGGATAAGCATTGTATTTGCCTTGGCTAATATTACAGAATTTTACAAGAAAACTTCAATTACATCAGTATAAAACAAACAAGCAAAAACCCTTAAAGGTAAATTTTAAATTGAACAATTCAGATTTATAACTGAAATTAATTATATTTCATTTAAAGAACTTAAAAATTTCAATCTTCTTCACCAGTCTGCAAAGTCATATTCAGTCAAGTAACTTAACACTATAATAATTATTATACAACATTAAGTTTTTGATGGCATCATTGTGCCTGTCACTTATATTACTTTTTGTTCTCAAGACAATGGATTTATTTCTTCAAAACAAAATGCAATGCACAAAGAACTATTACATTAATCATTATTATCAGCAGATGTGATATTTTTATGGCAATAACCTTGTGGGAAATACTACACAAATTTTTTTGTGTTATATATTTGAAGGTAGACAAGAAATATTAAAACTTTTATACTATAACATGATTTTTAAGTCAAATTAAAATCAATTATCTCTTTTAGAACAGAAGTTCATGACAACAGAATGGTTTGTCTGCTTTCTTGACTGCTTGCTGTTTCCATGGAAAGGGAGGAATAAAATTGAATGAATGTCATAGTTTTTAGATTTTAACAAAATAGTAGAAATCATTGAATGCATCTATGCACTATGATAAACAATTTATGTATATTATCTACATTCTCAAAGAGTTTCTTGAAACATTATCATCTAAGAGTTTAGGTAAACTAAGCAATGTCAATATGGGACAGTGTTGCAATCTGAACGAACCCAGGTCTGCACCCGTGTCTTCAAATCCCCTTCCTTAACTAGTATTTATTCTGTGCCATGGTGTTTCATACTGGGCTCATAGAGTTATACAACATCATTTGTTTCCTATAAAGCAATTAATATATGAATGATATAAATTTTGAACTAATAAATAACAGGAAATATTCAGTATATTTATTTTTAAAATAAAATAAACAATGATTTTGTCACATATGCACTAGATTCAGAAAAAAACAAATAGTTGTATCCATTTTCGTTCATTAACTTAAACTTTATGAAATATTTTATCACAAATATAACAAAAGCACAGGCTATAACTTAGGACAAAATCCATAAAAGTTTTTGAATATTAAAAATATATGAAATTAGTTAAATTATGTTTAAATGTTAGTTTTACATCATTATATAATTTTTAAAAATTACTGTTCCCCAAGTCTTGGGAGACAGGATTGTTGAGCTAGGATAAATAGATCACAGATTATCATAAAAATATAAAAGTAACCATTTTTACATTTTAATACAGATGCAATACAAAATATATACTATAGATGCATTATAATTAAAAGATGTTTCCCTCATGTTCTTGAGTTGCTTTATATTTTTGATGGAAAGAGATTGTCTCTGAACCTACAAGCTTAAAATGTTCAGATCAGAGACAGAAGCAGTATATACTTAGGACAGCTCTCTTCTTACCACCATTAAGTGCTGTGAATCAGATCCTATATTTTACCTCTGGCTCAGCAAAGGGAATTGAAATATAACAATTTTCCCTAGAGCAAATTCTTCTTAATAATCCAGTGCATATATGACAAAATCATGGTAAAAATTTTAATAAGTGCATGTTTCAAGTACAATTTATAATAAATATAGCACGCTTATGGTGAGCTAATCTAAAATATTAAATTGGTCCAGATTAACATCTTTGATCTAAAGCAAAGATTTAAAACCACCTTTATTTAGAACCAAACATCTGCAACTACACAGAAAACATCCCAGAAAAGGGTACTTTAATGAGCATTAAATCTGGTATATTAACTCTTACAACTCAGTAATAAGATATTATTAGAATATTACCAAAGGATATGAATAAATATTTTACCACGGAGGTTATAGAAATGGAAAGATGTTCAAATCACTAGTGATCATAGGGAAATACAAATCATAACCACAATGAGATACCATTTCACACCAAGAAGAATTGACATGATCAAAAAATCAGACCACAACAAGTTATTAGTGAAGATGTGGAGAAACTAGTACCCTCACACATTGCTGATAGCAAGGAAAAAATGGTGCAAAATCTTTGAAAAACAATTTTGGAAACTTCTTAAATTTTAAACATAAGTTTACCATCTGACCCAGGAATTCTACTTCTAAGTATATACCAAAAGGAAAAGAAAGCAGATCTACACAAAGACTAGAATGCAAATATTAACAGCCATACTATTTTGTGGACCATAGCTAAAAAGTATAAACTACCCATGTGCTATTAACTACTGAATAAGTAAACAGAACCTGGCATATCCAGTCAAGAGAACAGTATTAGGCAATAAAAAGGAGCAAAATACTGATATATGTATACTACAACATGGATAAACCTCAAAAACATTATGCCAAAAAAGGAAATCAGATATAAAGGTCACTTACTTTATTCATTTATATGATTAAAACTGTGTATTAAATTCATTCATATATTTCATTCATATGAAACATTCAGAAAAGGCAAATCCATAGGGACAGAAAGTAGATCAGGTGTCTACATCTGGGGGTGGAAAAGGGGACTGTGAATTGATACAAATATTCTTCTGGAGTGGCATGAATAGTCTGAGTTAGATTGTGGCACAGCTTTGTAAATTTACTAAAAGTCATTGACCTGTGCTTTTAAAGCAAATGAAATTTTACAGCATATAAATTATACCACAATAAAGCTGTTAATGTTTTTTAAAGAATTGATGTTCATAGAAATCAACAAAAATAAGGGAAAAAAATGTGTTAGAAAGAGCCAGCTACTAATTGTGCTGTAACTACAGGAAACAATATATTACTCAAAGAATTTGGCAGAGGAGATCAGGGAAAAAGACATCTCTTTAATTAAAGATTTATTCCTGTTTTGAGCCAGACATTGAGTTATTAACAAGAACATCATTTGTCATTCATACATGAGAAATGGTGACAATGACAACCTCACAATTTTCCCTTAATCAGATCTTGCTATGAACCCTTTGTCACAAGCAAACCTAATTACGTTTTTCAAATAACGAGAAAGAAAAGAGAACCAAAATAAAGACAAAACATCCACTCATACCAGGATGTTTTTGAAATTAATATAGCTGAGAATGTCACATTTGGAAGCTGTCCAAATGGTAACTCTGAAATTTTATCACTCACAGTTTAAAAATGTATGAATGAATTCTCCCAACACTATACTCATATGGTTTAACTCCAGATTAATTCTTTATGTGCTGAGCCATCTAGATATCTTAACAGAAATAGAAGGCAGGCCTTACACCTGCCTAACGTTGTTAACCCCAGACTTGTTTATCAGGCATTACTAGAAAAACAGAGTAACTTACTTTTTCACCAGGGGGACCAATGGGACCTTGCGGACCAGGAAGACCCTATTTTAAAAGAATTTATTTCATATGTCAGGAATCACATCAGAAGAATACACTTTTAAAATAGTAAATTATTAGCTCTCTATTGCATGTGACATGAATTATAAAACTCTATATATATCCCCCAACTCCCCAAGGAGTTTTGGAATACTATGAGGAGTTTTACACAAGCTACTCTTTTTGCAAAGGCACTGCAACATGATGCTATTCAGAGCTCTCCTGCAGATGTGGCTACTTGTCCTAGCATTCCCTAAACACTAAATGACTCATTTTTCTCTTGGAAAAAAAAGAAGCTTCTGTAAGTTTGCTCAAATTAAAAAAAAAAAAAAAAAAAAAGGAAAAAATATATCTTCCTATGGTCACATTTTAAACATTGTTATCCATACACAGAAAATTTTGAGGCTGTCAATTTTCTTTTGAATAGATAACCATTTTACCCCCATAATTTGAAAGGAGCTCCAATGGCTTAGACTTACTTGAGGTCCTGGGTTTCCTTGCTGACCTGGAGGTCCAGGCTCCCCTTGGGGACCCTACCACAGAAAAATATAAAGAGTCTTTAATAGGGCTAGTTCACAAAATATGTTTTTTTTCTTCTCAATTGGGAAATAGCCCCCAAACCAGTTTTCCCTCAAAGGAATTTGGAAAATATTGCAAAATATTAATGCTAGCAGTAATTAATATATTTACCAAAATGTAAGAAATCTTTAGATTTAGCATCATGGTTTGTTAGTCCTCAGATTCAAAGATGAATTATGTTATGGACATTTGCTACATACCATGTTCCCTTTTGGTCCTGGGGGGCCATCTATACCGGCCATGCCCTTCAATGAAGAAAATAGTATGTATGGTTGTTTATAAATTTAGATGCTAAAACAGAAAATCAAAAAGACTAATCTAATAGCATGACACCCACTAGCCTAAGATGACTAAAAAGTATTTTAGGATTTAATGGAAACATGAAAATAGCAAGACCTATCCTCTGCTATCCATGTCCACCTTGGAGACAATCTAGCAACATTTCCCACTGCATGCTGGAGATTTAACATGCAAACAGTAAGATAGATAACCAAGAGAAAAAAAAAAACACAAATGTGGGAAAGAATGATCAGTTATGCAGCATCATTATATCTTAGAATATAACTAGGTGGTAAACTCTTGGCTGTCGACTGAGAACTTTAATGACCCATCAGCTTTAAAGAGTTTGGCAACAGGTTTTCCCTAGAAAATCCTGAATGTCTTTAGCAATACATACAGGCTGCCCTGGTGGTCCTGGAGTACCCCTTGGTCCCAGCAAACCTCGTGGACCCTAAGAGGAACAAGAGAGGACGTCTTCATAAGAAATAGCCTCAAAAACATGTCTTTTCCTCTGAAGAAATTCTAAGGTAATGTTTGGAGTAAAAATATTTGTATATCTTCTCTTAACACTCTGAAAGTGATATTTAAAATGCCCTGTTTATGAAATGTAAATATGTAGTGTTTATACTGATCCAAAAGCCAAAATGGATAACAGTGAGTCTTCAGTACATAAACTATGTATCTTTTAGTCTATAAATTTACATATGCAGCACCAAGGAAATGTTTAAAATAGGAAATAGTTTAATACTTTAAATAAGGCACTTTTGAATGACAACCCTGAATCTTAGTATTCAGTCAGATAGACAATACAAATAGAATAACCTGGAATCTCATTTATTTTACATTTAGGCAAATTCCATCTTGACATAGCATTCATTGAGGTATAGAAACAGACAGCTGGATAACTACATATGCAGATTAAAGAAAGCATTCTTGAGAGAAGATTTCTTAAATTATTACTATTTACCATCCTCTCTCCTCCTTTTTATTCCCCCTCCTCCACCTGTTTACCTTCTTTAACTTCTTTAGAAAAATCAATACAATAATTTACTGTCTCTCCCATTTGCTTGAACTTATTTGACCTGACAGGCTCTAGGATGTGGCAAATTGAGACTGAAATTAGAAGGTCCGTTTCTAACCTAGTTCTTTTGTTAGCTAGCTTTGAGTAAACCTTCCCAGTTCAGTTTCCTCATTTATAATATTCAGTGGAGAAAAATAATATAATTCGGTATATACTAAGTGCCTCATTCTTTTGTTTCTTCTGGTGATGATATTCATTTATCCTAAATACATAAAATATGTTATGACCTATTGATGATAGAAAACAAAAAAAAAGAAACAAAACAAAGAAACAGCCACAAAAACTAGGAAAGTTAACTATTTTTGGCATGTAACATTTTTAATTAAAGATGTTACATTCCACATTTTTCTCTCAATTTTCTAAGATTTTTCTCTATGACAAAAGAGGAGTTCTCTATATATTTTTTTACATGACAATTATCTGGTTAGCTTAGGTAAAACTGTGATATTTACCTGAGTTTATTATTGCTTTTATATGTGTGATACCAGACACTATTACTCAAAAACAGAAATATTGTTACTTAAAGAGAAACAAAGAAAGTTGCTTACAGCTTCACCTGGAAGACCCCTTGGTCCTATTTCTCCATCTTCTCCCTGTCATTGACAAAATGAACAAGAGGGTAGAGCATTTAGACAATGTATCATTTCAACATGATTTTGTCCTCTTATGTTTTAATTTTAAATATTTATTTAAAAAATGGAAAAAAGTCTTAATATACCCTCATTCCATCATCACCAGGAGGACCTGGAGGACCTTGGGGACCTCGTTCACCCTGTTAAATAAATATGAATATGATTAGCATATGAAATAAGCAAAATGTTGACAAGTCCATCAGGTAGCCACCCTAACCAAATATAACAGGGCATTTGGCAAGAAAAACTTATGTTTTATTTGCTTGCCTCAGAACACTTCACAGATTAATTATAATTTCACAACTTTAACTGGGTTTACATATTAACACGCTAGGAAAAATATTCCCTCAATTTTCAATGCAAAAAGTTTACATAAAATAAATACCTAAAATAATTTTCAGACATTTAGTTATTACAAGCTAAACCATTTAGAAATTATTTTTCTAAAAATTGTTTTAAACATGGGAACACTTTGGTGATTTTAACTTAAATATTTTCTACTTCTAAGTAAATTATATTAAATCGGCACAACTCTTAAGTACTAAAGGAATTTTGGAATTTTTAAAAAAGACAAAATTATATATTAATCTTGACATGTGTTACGCATACACTAGATATTTGGCTAAACATTCATAGAGTTCTCTTTTCTTTTTCCCTTTTTTTCTTCTCCAATTTACTTGAAGTTTGTCTTAACTTCATTCTTAACTTCTGATAAAAAAAGCAGTGAAGATCCAAAGCTGATCTTTCTTTGAGAAATTGTCTCTTTAATTCCCCACTAAATATATCTACTGGACTGCTATTCAGCATGGCGCTTTGTTTAGTCTTAGCAAATTATAAGCTCTGGCATTGGACTGAAAGCTCATATCATCAAAAAGAAATTATATAGTGCCCGGTATATTATTACATTAATGACAGACTGCCTACAGATGTTTTCTTTTGAGTATATTTCCACAGACAAAATGTAAAAGGCAAATTAAGACAATTATCAAAAAACTAGAGTAAAATTAAATATCTACAGTTGCTCTTCTATTAATGTGATATTTTTCACATACATGTACATAAAGATTCCACCTCAATTTATGTTTGTGTACAAGGAGTATTTTAGTGTTCTAAAAATAATCAAAGAACTTACATTGATGGCAATGTGTAATTTTACCTATCCTTCTCCAAGTATCTGTCAGATATTATAATTTACTAAATGGATCCACATATGTACAAATTAATATTCTTCTTCTTCTGATTTCCTCAAGTGTAGCAATTTTAAAATATTTCATAACATCCTAATTATTAATATCTCTGGATAAAAAGTAATAGATGTATCTTACCCTGTGACCTTTGTCACCTGGCAGACCTGGAAGTCCATCAAATCCTCGATCTCCCTGTAAAACCATAATCATCATCATCACATGCCCAGTCTAGATATGTACTGTAATTTGAAGGCGATGTATTCTTTCATATCCAGAAATTTTATTGTAAAATATAAAATTTTCCAGGGTGAACTGACATAAAAAATCTGAATATGAAAATATATGAGCTCCTGACCTTTGCCCCAGGTTCTCCTGGCATTCCTCTTCCTCCATCTGCACCTGGACGGCCCTGATAATGCCAAGAACTTCATTAAACAAAAGGGATTCTTACCAGCAGAGAGTAAAAGACAACAAAATAATTGATCATTGCGGATGCTCTCAAAATACACAATGAAAATAAGCCATACCCTTTTTCCAGGTTTTCCTGTCGGACCAGGAGGACCCTGGACACCTCGAGGGCCCTATATCAAAAAATCATAATGAAATCATATTACAGATTTCTTAATTTACAAATTCAATGACATTAAGAGAGCTGGTTTTGGAAAATGTTATTAATATCTTCTTAACTTCCCCTTAATGATTTAAACATCGGAAATTATTTTTGCATAAAAGTTCAGGTAAAGCAGAAAAAAGACATCAATTTTTCTAAATGGCTTCTTATAAAGAAAGACCATATTACCTATCGAGTTCATATGTAGACATGTGATTGTGTTTAAACAAAAATCATAATGGGGTATATTAAACGTTAAAAATATCCTCAATTACTCATTTTATTCTCAAAACCTTGGGGTTTTATATTTTCCTTGACAGAACACACTCTTAACCATCCATCCCATTTCTCTTCTCTTTCCAATCCCCTTTCCTTCACCTTTTTCTTCATTTTCTGGATATTCTCTCCTTGATACTTCTTCTTTCATTGCACTTATCCATGTTGGATTGCAATTGTTTTTTCTTATATCTCAATTCCATTAGATTGTTAACTGCTACAGTCTTCAACTAAATCTGTTTTTTTCCCATTATACACCTACAATTTAGCACAGTGCCTGGTATATGTTTCTTCTGTCATCTACAAAATGCTGGGGGATAACTCATCAATCCCTAAAGCAAATATTGACTGGCACCATGCTATATCATATTGAAGGTTAAAAATTCTCAATGCATTATTTTTGTCTTCAGTAGTAGTACAACACAATGTATCAAAATACACCTTATGTGGGGATCAAAATACATGTTTTAAAATAAAATTACACAGCTAATAATAGACCAAATGTAGTTCCAGTATAAATATTATTAATATATATGCCTTCACATTTAACTAACTATATACCCCTTTTAAAGTTAATTTAAACAATATGCATATAGTGAGCATAGCAGAAAAATGAAACCCACATTTGAAAATATAGATTATTTTTATGATCACCATAATCTATTCATTCTAGAAATAAAAAATAAGGATTGTCTAGTAATTACAGGTTAAAGCATATAGCTTTTATTTTTTATTTATTTATTTTTTTTTTGAGACAGAGTCTCACTCTGTTGCTGGGCTAGAGTGCCGTGGCATCAGCCTAGCTCACAGCAACCTCAAACTCCTGGACTCAAGTGTTCCTCTTGCCTCAGCCTCAGGAGCTGGGACTACAGGTATACACCACCATGCCCAGCTAATTTTTTCTATTTTTAGTAGAGATGGGCGTCTCGTTCTTGCTCAGGCTAGTCTTGAACTTCTGACCTCAAGCGATCCTTCTGCCTCGGCCTCTCAGAGTGCTAGGATTTCAGGCATGAGCCACCGCACCCAGTCAAGAGTATAGCTTTTAAAAAAATTATTATAGTGAGAAGACTCTATCCTGAATTCTAATTAGAAAGCAAGGGGAAACGATAACAGGACAAATATTTTTAATTTTTAATGAAAATAATTCTTCATTTGATATTACATCTCTTTCTTTGCATTTAGGGAGTTAGGAAAAACTGCAAAATCCAAGAAAACTACAGCATGTTTTCAGTTTCAGCTGTATTATAAAGCAAAGAATTTGATCAAAAAGTTCACGAACTTTGCAAAATAATAAGCTCCCTAGATTTTCAGGTAGTGTAATTTCAATATTTTTATGCAATTCCCAGTTAACCTGCAAATGCTTTCCATCCTTTTATACTAATGTTAATCAAGCATAAAAATAAGGCTGCCACATCCCACATCACCCAAATACCTTTATCAGTTTCCTCTGGATATCTTTCGTTTCAAAATAAATCGTGGTGCATACATACAATAGAATACTACTCAGCAACAAAAAAGAAAGCTCTATAGATGCACTCATCAACTGTGATGAATCTGAAAGGCACTGTGCTGTGTCAAAGAAGCCAGTCTGGAAAAATTACATAATGTATGATGTTCTTTTTATGGTATTCTCCAAAAGACAAAACTGTAGTAATAAAGAATGGATCAATGGTTGCCAGGTGTTAGGGGCTGGGAAGATATGACTGCAGAGATATGACTACTGATGATTGGTGTGGTGGTTATAAAGAACATATAT